GGTATAATAATTTTATAAGAAAATGTTTTTTTTCTTTACTACCTTTTCCGCATTGTACTCTTCAAGTTTTGTATTAAACTTTTTTTCTAAACTCTAAAATAAATACTTTTAAAAGAAGCGTCGGTACCCATATTTATATCGCCTTTAAAAGCTTTTTTATTTGTGATTTTTCTTTGTTGGATGTTTGTGATGGCTAAAAGAGATAGAAAGGCTGATGAAGAAATTCAAGATGCAATAAAGGCTGTTATAAATCATAACATTTCCATAAGACCATAAGAAGTATTGTCAAAAGTTACAAGTATTTCGAACTCTTTAATAGGTGATTGGTTAAAAAATACAAGACAAAAAATGATAAAAGCGGAAGAAGAAGGAAATAAATTGGGAGAATACGGGTATCAAGAGCAAAAAATTTACGTTGAAAAAACAATACAATACCAACTCAGATGGATTTTAACGAATATTTAGCTCAACCAAAGCGAAACGAATACTTTTTTATTTAAAACAATTCGAGGCATCCAAAAAAGGAAAATTGTTCGTTTCATTATTGTTATGCAGACGTGCTTACATGGAAAAAAGTTACCAATAGGTACGGAATAAATGATTAATACATTTTATATAGTTTGAGGTGCGGGTTTTAATATTTTTACCAATTTACCAAAAATTTATTAAAATAGTTGCTTATACTATGGTAAAGGAAGAATAAACGTTATAGGGCGGTTAGGTTGTATGAAAATCCAATATCATTTCAATGCTTTCCGCAATATTTCCTATATATGGTATGGTATACATAGTTTACAATTATTGTCTTTAGTTGTAGCTCCACGTTAGCTTTTACCAGTTTATTTTGTATTTTATTTATAAACAGATGTTTCCTATAGACATACGCAGCTGCCCAATAAATATCACAAAAAGCTTACCTAACTAGACTAGTTCAAATTATTTATTACATAATACATATAAAGAAATAAATTTAATTCTTGCTAAATCTTCTATATTGAAAAATACCTTGGTGTAAAGTAATTTAGACTAATAGGTATAAGTTTTATTGCTTTATTTTACAGAATTTCTAGATTTTGTACTAAATGTCTTATGTGAAGTTTTATAAGACATGATTTCCTGCGCCAATAACATACTGGAGATTCATTAAATTTACCTTCTTTTTGTTCTTCAAAATCCTAATTCGACTTTTGCGATATTTTGGCACTGAATATATTTCTAGGAAAAATTCTTTAGTATCCATTTGTGAGAAATCGACTTGATAACGCACCAAACCATAGGCAACAAACAATGTTAATACCCCCAAATACTTCAAACTGGGTAGAAGTTTACGCTTATTTTCTAGTATCGTTGAAATTCTCGAAATAAAAACTTTTGGCGTTGACTGATGAAACAGAAAAAATTGATAAAATCTAATGACAGACAACAATAGAGAAACAATACTACAATTACAAATCGAACGCAAGTAGTTGTGTGTTATTTGCAATGCCATAAACACGTTTGGAGGTTAGGTTCTGTTATTAGTACTATTAAATAAACTTACCTAAATCATGGTCCATGTCGCCCCGTTTCTTTATATTTTTGAAGGAGTTACATCACAAACACACAAAAATTCTGAGTTAAAAATATACCCTATTTGGAAAAACCGCTGGTATGTACAACAGAAAAATGTCAACGCATTTTGATTATCAGCGCGGTTGTCATATTTACTATCGATTTCGAGATTCCAACAATGAATTGTTAGCAATGGGACTTATTTTTAGTTGATGTGTTAAGTTCTTAAAAGTGAAAGGTATTTTTCTTGATTATACAAATCGCTAGCCCTTTCAGGCGCACTACGTAAATAAAGATAATATTGTTTTTGTTGACGCTATCGTTATAGTTGTCGCTTTTGTAGGGTTATATAAAATTAGAGTAATGTTGTTAACAGTGTGAAACGAAGTGAACGGATACAAAATAGAATTAAGCTCTTGATAGGAGCAGACAATATTAAACTAAGATTAAAATATGTTAGCTATAGTCAATTGGACAAATTATTAATTGAAAACACAAATAAGTAACGGACGGTTTTAAAATTAATACAAGTTAATAAAATTGAAAACGAAAATATATTATTTTTGCGTATGTAGCTCAACATTTGACAACGTCGGTCAGAAAAGAAGCGAAACGACCTTGCGAATATTGGATTGGTGACGAGGGACGATGGTAGTGGCGATTTACCTGGAACAGATAACGTAAATCTGAAGTTTCAAATATTTGCGCTGTTGCCTTGATTGATTAGGGTGGAAATTAAAACCAATTTTGGATGAGGAAAAACAGGCTGCTTAACCGCAAAACAAGCAAAAATAAAGTTTTAAATCTGGTTGATCTGAAAATAATAAAGTGGTTTGTTTTCAAATGGAAGTACCTTGTTATAATTTTATGGTATTTAATCTAAAAAAGCATTGAAATTAAGGGAATCAAATGATGACAGCGAAACATGGCAAAAAAATCAATCGAGTACTACGCTATTTACTATCGGATGACAATTAGTTATAAATTATATTGTCAGTTCATTTACACAAAAACTACTCAAATTAGTTGAATTTCTAAAAATGGAACTAATTTCACCAACAACATTTTGACATTTGCTGAAAATGTCCAGATGAAGTTGTTTTATTCAGTGTTAGTGTTTTCTTCATTATTTCGTTTTTTTTTTTACGAAAACGTTGTATAGACACGAGATCATTTTTTTGTATTAAGATATCAATAACAAAAATTACTAAATTGGCAAATATTGATTTCCAAACTGCTAACCAATGTTTCTGTAGGTCTCGATTGTTTTTTTACCATTTTTTGCCGTCCTGGCATTTTTATAAATGAAAAATATTTTATTAGCAATATTTCTAAATCTATAACTTTTTCAAAAAACCTTACACAAAGTCGCCCTTTTTGAAATGTTGGATGTTGGATTTCAAGGCCTGAATGAGAAACAAAATATAACATCAAAATAGAAATTCTATTATTTACTATAGACGTTTGTCTAACAAGTGACTATCATTAAATGCCTAGTACTAATTGATCTAGATTATAATACTGATAATAAAAATAACTAGTAAACAAGATCTAGAATTATATTAAGTTCAAAAATAAATATTCGTATTTATGTTATCAAATATTTCACATTTGATAACCTAGTGGCGACACCTCAAAAGGCAGGTATTAATGTAACATAATTTAGTCTCATTAGCTAAACTTAAAATTTTAGCACTAGGATATATTTATCACTTTTTACTGGAGCAACAGACTTTGAAGCTTGTTCAAAGTCAAAAAGTTGATTTCCTATGTTCCTCTGATTACCAAAAGACAATTACCAATAAGTAATTGAGGTTAGAAAGTCAACGCTACGCAGATCCGACTTATTTTAGTAACAAAATCACTTGCGGCAGTAGAAGATGTTACGAAAATAAAAATAACTACCATATAAATTTTAATACTAAGACGGTTATTCCCAATTTTCCTAACCGCAGCGTTCTGCAGACCGAAATGATAAAAGCTGATGACCTTCGCGGATACTTTAGTATACCGAGTGGCCACGCTCAAATTTTGAGCGGTTTCGAGTTTCCATTAATTAATAGTTGATAATTGACATTCCAAGAAATTTTGTATAATCTACTAATCTACAATGTAAGTTGAATTCTGCAGATTACAAATTATATTAATTCATTACTCCTCAACAAACGACCCATTTACAAATTTCTTGAGATTAGTTGACTTTGTATTATTTGAGAGTTTCCATTTTGTTAATTAAGTTTAGTACAATTTATTTTAGCAAAAATCAACAAATAACAAATACCGCAATATTGAAGTGCATTATCGATGTTAGGATGCTAGAAATGTGTGGCATATTGGCAAAATAAAACACAGAATCAATTGTTTTAACAGTATAGTGATGAAAAAGTGAAAAATTCCAATTAAGGACAAAAATTATTTGAAGAAAACAAATATGAATAGCTTTATAGAAAAATAACCTTTAATGAAGTTGGTGTGACCTTATCTAATTCTCCATTAAAGCTCAAAAGAGGTCGCGAAGTTAAAAATTCAATGAAGTATGCGAAAAGATACAAAATGTTGCGAGTATTTGCCGAGTATAGGCAAGACAAGTGAAAAAAACCAAACCATGATTCAGCAGAAACTTTGGTTAGTTGAAGCAGCAAGGGCGTTCTGAAAGCTAAGAAAAATGCTTTTATCAAATACCGCTACTGAACTAACAGCAACTTGTTGACTATACAATTAAATAATATTTTTTTCTTTAAATTTACTTAATATCTTATAGCATGTTTTTTAACTTATAGTTTAATATAGAAATACGTATACGAGTCGAACTATAAAATTTCTTAGCATGTTTAGGTTATATACTGTTAAAGTTATTTGTACTAGCAGTAATTAGGTTTTCTATACGTTTATTTGCTTGTTTATTTTTTTATTATCTAAAGACAGTCAGTACTTTAAAATGTGTAATTTGATGAATTTGTCAATAAAATAAAATACTATATTTATTTCTTCCTTGTATTGATAAAGTGACCTCTGTGTACTACACCGAATCTAGACGCACATCATTATATTTAAAAAATTTAAAACACATTCGTTAAGAAAATTCGACCACAGCTTCCGATTTTATCAAAATTGAAAATGTACTCCTTTTGTTTATTTTATATTTGAACTGTACTATATCCCTTTTTCCGCCTGGTTTCTGCATGGTTTTCGTTATAAAAAAACTCAAAGACAATTTAAATTTTCTACCCAAATAGTGGTAGATGGTGTCTAAAAAATACAAAAAATTAGTTTCGTTTGGTTTTACCGGAAGTTGTACTTGGTTTCTCTGCTAAAAAATTGTAAAACATTATTTTGATGCTTCAGAAAATAATAGGAACTATTTACGAAAACGAAAAATCTTAACACCCGGTATATAATATTTACGGAACGTAAAAATTGCTTATTATGTTTTTGTTTGGGTGCCAGTATACATTGCATACGATTTCCAATGTATTCGACATTGTCGGGTTAGGTTTTAATCAGAGTTATGAGCAAAATTTAGTTTCAATAACGATTAAATTCATTTAAGTGATTATTGTAAAACAATAGGGTTTTGTGAAAGATGGTAATCTTCCTTACACTCTTGGGCTGGACTATTTTAATCCAACCAACGCTCGGAGCTCCTCCAGGTAAGATCAAATTTTATAAAATATCGAAAAATTTTATAGGAAACAGTTAGTTCTCTTTCAATCTTCTTTAAATGTACAAATTTTCTGAAACTAACCAACCCAACTTTCTTTTTAGTACACCCTAATTTGAAACAATACGAATCAAATTGCATAGATTGTCTAAACTGAACTATTTTAAATTAAATTTAGAAAAGAAACTAACGTAAAAAATGTAATACAAAAAAGTTAATTTGTAAATTAAAAATGGTTTTTTAAGCTAGTCGTTACACTTGCCTTTTATTTTGCTATCGATACAACATATCTAAAACATTATTATAAATATTAATAAGTCACTTAATTAATTTATATTTATATATCAAATAACGTAATTATAGTTATAATAAAATTAAAAAAAGTAAATTAATAAATTAATTATGTAGATTTATAATCAAATAAATATACAATTCATACTCACTTTATTACAACAGGGTGACCCGTTTATCATGGAATCTCTAAAGAATATAAAAAAAGTAGGAGGGATGTTTGGATTCACGTTTAAATTTTAATTCGATATACATTATTTAAAATAGAACACCATGTTGATTCGAGTATTTTTGAATTCCTCGGCACTTTCTAGATCCTACTTCTCCTACTCTTACTACTATTGTGTGTTGTTATTTTAAAATTAAATAAATACAGAATGATCAAAAAGTGAGAATAAAAAAATCATAAAAGTCATTTTTTTAAATGGGAATATCGTAATGTCACTTTTTATAAAGTTTCCTATTTCAAAATAGAAATTAGAAATAAAACGTTTTCTTTATTATAAGAACGCTGTGACGACGAAATGTGACAAAAAAAAACAAACGAGCACTACAGCAACCATAACGCATCCTATTTATACAATAAAAAATTATGTAAAATATATCTAAAAAAACAAAATTATGGAGAAAATATTAATAGTAAATACAACAAATTAAAAAGGCAGTTTTTTATTTGCAATAATCAGAAAAGATATATTGAAATAATATTTTTTTATATAATTATATATGTATTTTATAAAAATAAATTTTCAAAAAAAATTTTTTTTCTATTAACCGTTTAAAACAGTGTTTATTGTGGGTCTTTGTCTAAACATTTTTGGTAAAATATATAAAACTTAAAGAAACCGTGAAACGACAGTAAATATTAGGTGTAATTTCTTTAGTGTCCGATTGATTGTACTTCTGCCATATTTGACCAATTATTAGCCGGTTGCCATTTTTACAATGGAAAAACGTATTGCTAATATTTCTAAACGCTACAACTTTTTGAATTAGAAAACCTTATACAAAGTCAACATTGTTTATAATGCCTAATATGGTAAAATTATAAAAATAGGGCGTCTCCATTTGAAAAAAATTACTTCCAATGATCTTTTCCGTTAAATTTTTGTCAGTTTTTTTGGCAGCTCTATGTGTATTTATTTCTAATATATCAATACATTCCACTAAAGTATAGATATCCTTCTGCATAACGCACATAAAAAAAGGCTCTAATATGCACCCGTATATAATCTTTACAGATTTTGAGATAAGTTGTTATCATACAATAAACGAGCCAAGTTAATCAATATATTAATTATTTGATTAGTTAAAATGGCTTTTAGACGTCGTAGTCAGACTTGATACTGACTTAAAAAATACAATACATAAAAGGTAGTTAATTTATGTTTCTACGAAAATAATTTAATGTTTGATTGTTAGACTGGCCTAAAGTGTGTCCCGAAATTATATCAAAAACAAGATGGGGAGCGCGTACACCCATAGCCGTGGACTATGGAAGAGTGCCCACTCCAAATATTGTTATACATCACACAGTGACTAACGAATGCAGCACGGAATCCGCCTGTATGCAATTATTAAGAAGCATACAGAACTTTCACATCGACACCATGGAGTTTCAGGACATTGGATATAAGTGAGTAAGCGCGTGATTTTGCGAATGATCATTCGGATGCTACATAGAGTGGCTCTTGGTTAGCCTTATGACTCATAATGGTGTGACAGTGTCTATACAGGGTGTCCAGAAATTAGCGAGTCACACTATAACAGCATATTCTACGTCAAAAATAAGTGCTTAAGTGCTGGATTTTTATGTAAACATATATCGAGAAACACAAAAATGGATTTTTATTAATATTTCTGAAATAAGTTGAGAAAAAGTTTTCACATTGTCTTTGAAGTTTTTTTAGTTCAGTTTTTGCTAAGTATGTTATGTTATGTCAAATTAATATATATATTTTTAAATAGTGATAAATAAAAGTCACACTATTGCGTCGGTCTGTATGTCATGCACATGTTGCTCACATCACTTTTCCTTTTTTAAGTTTTGTGATAGGAGGTGACGGGCAAGTGTACGAGGGTGCTGGATGGCATAAAGTAGGAGCTCACACCAGGGGTTACAATACAAGATCGCTGGGCATCGGTTTCATAGGCAATTTTAGCGGTAAATGAATTAATTCCTTTCCAAAAATCACAATGAAACAACAGAAAAAAATCCTATCCTTTGTAAACCTATCAAAATATAATTGCAAAATTGGTGCATGCGCCAGACTTAGGACATACCCTTTTAGATAAACTACCAAACCAAAAAATGTTGACGGCGCTAAGAAATTTTCTGCAGTGCGGCGTGGAACTGGGTGAAATTGAAAGCGACTATAGGCTGTTCGCTGCAAGACAAGTTAGCAGCACGCTAAGCCCGGGAACCAGATTTTATCATGAGTTGAAAAACTGGCCACATTTTGCACCGTCTCCATAAAAAACAGTTTATTAAACAACGCATTCTCTATAAATTAGCCTTTTTAAGGTAACGTGTAATAATTTAAGTAAACATAATTTTTTTTTGTAGATGTATTTTTTTACATTTATATCAGCGTGCTTATCTCTGAGGAGCGTTTAGCCTGCCAGTGAACTTGGCTCTCGATTTTTTATGAACGATGCCTTCGTGTGCATGTAAATGACAAATGTGATGATTGAATAGTATATATTATGCAACAAGCGCGGTAAACGGCATCCGAGACAAGAGTTTATTTGTCACGAGCGGAGCGATTGGTTAATAAACGAGTGACTTAAATAGTTTACCAAACGTGTTGCATAGTATACTTTTTCTACGACCGTTAGTTTTTGAGTACTTTTTGCAAACAACACTGAAACATTTACTGACATGACCGTCAGAATTGACAAATGTCAACATTCAAGCCGTGCGGTAAAATCTCCGAAAAAATCCGACTGCTTCCAAACCAGTGCAGTATTATCCCCGAAATGTCCAAAGTGGCTTAGATCAGTGGGACATGAAAAGTCACGTGGTAAAGTGACGCTTCCTGCACGCTAGTACGTTTGTAATTAATTATTTTACAGAAGGGATTATAAAAAAATTAGATTCTCAATTTTTTTTGGTTAGTTTTTGGTACTTTTGTGATTCTGATTAGACGCAAGTCTCACTTTTATGCAGTTTATTAACGGATTTTTAAAGGGCTGTTCCAAGTGTATGATAATGCTTAAATAAAAGTAGTTAAAAAAAAGTTAATTTTCTAGAAAACTGCTGATTTGATTTGGACAAATATTTTTTAAATTGAAGCTTAAATCGTCGGAAACAATTTAAATATGAAAAACATTTTTATTAGCGTGAATGTTCGATTTAATTTTTTTGTTTGCCAACTGCCGCTCTTACCCATGTCAGGACCAGAAAATGCAATTAATACTCTGTGTCGTGACTATAATGACGTTTATCAAACTTGTATAATGTATTTATTTCGTTGTCATCTTTTTTTTTGGCAAAACACAATTGAAAAATAGATTCCTTGCTTTTATTTGCTAGAAGTAAGCAGTTAAAGAAAAATCCTACTCGGAACAACTTTTTGGATCTGATAGATATTCCACATTTATAGCTTTGTTCTTAGAAAGCAATCACAAATCGGTTCTCGATCGACTCACAAATAGTTTTAGTGCGCAAATTATAATCGATCAGAAACATCTCCTAACAGTGGCCATTTGGTCCCATTCCACTGTTTTTCGTAAAATTTAAAACTACTGAATACATTTTGAGTTCCAAAGAAAGCACTTAACTAAATAGGAGACGAGAATTGGGTCACTGTCACCAATCGGAAGATTTTGTACCATCTTAGTTTGTTGCCATTGGAAGGTCTGACGCTCATCTCATCAAATATTATATTTAATATTCATGAACCTTTAAAATATTAAGATTGACGAGAGTTTACATTAACATTAAAAAGATTGTCAACCTTTAGCTTTTCATTTATTTATTTGAAATCAAATATGCACATGTGCATTACAAATGTCAGTTGTGTCTGTTGCTTTATGCTCAGATTTTAGACTGAAAAATAAATTTTGGATACTTGCTATTTTCTGTAGGAAAGTTTAAAAATTGAATTATTTACTATAAAGAAAGAGAACTTCTCCAGCATGTGCCGTTAATTTTTAATTAATTCACTAAAGGGCACGGTGAAGCCTTGTTTCCTTAATTTTAATATTATATTAGTTACAAATTAATGTTTCTTTACTTTTATTGTGTATTTCTTTGCTTTTTAGTTTGTATATTGTACAGGTTTAAGTTAAGTAAGGAAATATAACTTAAGACATTTTTGTGATCCCACATTTTTATGGAACGCCCTGTAGAATAGGAAGTATTTTTCAAATGTTTTTTGTATTGGTTTCTATTTCAATAGACTTACAATATAATATAAGAAAGAATTTCGGCACTGTCCATTTAGAGAAATAGTTTATTAAAATATACATAAAAAAATTAAATCACAAAACATTCAGTAAGTACCATCGTCATCCGCAAAAATTTCACGACACCTGGGATGATGTATTTTCGTACTTTATATACACAGTAAATGCAACGACTTGATAGAATTCCCAAATGAATTTGGCGGGCATTTTAATTGACTAACAAATTCTGTATATCCGATGATATGCGGCTGACGCTGGGGGCTGCTTTAGACGGTTCAGGAACGATTCGCGCGCAGGACTTTTTGTGCCAATGCCAGTGCAGCCTCTGACAGTTTCGATCGCAATACTGCACCACTTTACATTTCGAACACTTCTTTGACGGTTTCTCTTCACCGCAAGTGTCGCACGTCGGTACATTATCGAGAAAACCGCGTTGTCCATTTATAGCAGCCGTGACGACGCTTAAAGCGGAGGGCGCTTCCTGGCCCGCCAAACTAGTCACCATCTGTCTAAACAAAGTCGTATCTCGGAAAGGATACTCCCTTAAACAGTCCATGAGGAAATCATTCATAAATTCGTAACTGCCGTCTTTACCTGGCTTCAACAGTTTTCTGGTAAATATTTCGGTCACGTCGATTTTCTTGTCTTCAGTCAACGTTCCGTTCGACTCTTTTTTTGCCAACTGTCTCTGCCTAAGCGTCACAATCTCTTTGAGGATGTATGCCAAGTAATGAAACTTGAAGGACATGACCTCGTTGGTCTCGGACCCTTTTTTCATTTCCCTCTCGCACATCAGCTCCAACACTTTCTTGATCTCTTGCAAGTGATCTTGAAGGCCGACGAAACTGTACACATTCAAGATAACTTTTACGGGATTTATATTGATCTGCATAATGAACTTGTGAAAACTTTCCACTAGAAACGACGGCAGGAGGGGTTCCTTATCCGTTCCGTTTGAGTGGGTGTAGTGTATTACGTCTTCTTTTGGCACGTAATTATTTATTATCGCGACGCAATTGTGATGTCCTACAAATGCTGCCATTTGCGAAGGTGTCCTGCCTACTGTGTTGGTGACATTGGATTTTGCTCCGCTATTGAGCAGAGCGAGGCAAACGTCGGTACTCCCAGACAGACCGGCAAAGTGGAGAGCTGTATAGTTGTGTTGGTGCTCGCAAAGATTTACATCGGCACCCTAAAATACATATATACAAGTTAAATAAAGAACAATTATAGCGTAAAGAGTAAAAATTTACAAAATATTTAACTTTCTTTACACCCACTTACACAGTCTATTTCAATAGAATGGCAAAAACTAGTACATATGTTGAGGCTAGTTTAAGGACTAGCTGGATACTATATAAACTAGACTTCACGTAAAAAGCAGAAATGGTTTAAAACATGTTAAGGAACGACACCTAAATCACAAGAACGCCCTTTAAAGTAGGAATCACCATATTAAGGAAGCAATATATCTGGTTACATGGCGTCTGTAATATCAAACACATGTAGGTGAAAGACGATAAAAAACGTTTTACTTGCATTATACTATTTTAATGTTTAGTACAAACATATAGTATAGAATATAGAATGTAGAAATTCTCACAGTACAGCATAGATATTTTACATGTCAAGAGTATATTTTTGTACTTATTTCTGACATCAAAATTATTTTATTAGGATCAAGTAATATAAAATGAAATTTTAAGAAGCACTTTATTATTACATTTTTCAAATTATTCATTGGCAGAATATTACATGTGGGCAAAGAAAGTTAGCAACACAAAAATCAATTTGTACTGAAGACAATATTTTACAAGACTTTAGTTAGATGTTTGACCGTAATCTAATTTTGTATGTTTTCTGTGTCGGCACGTATTTGGTTACAACAGAATAATAAAAACTAACCAAATACTTAGCGGCAAATAGAGCAGGCATCATTAAATTAAGGTGAAATATTTAATAACGTTTTACAACAAACTATCCTAAAAAATATTTCACTTTACTGATCATGATTGACGAGTTAATTCTTGCGTTGTATAAATAAACCATCCAAATGTCTAGTTTAAAAACAATAGAACATTCACCGCCCAAGTACAAACCACAAGAAAAGTAGCTACCACAAACTAGCTACTTCTTGGATAATGTGCGAAGTTAATATTTCTAATAATCCATAACCCATTGATTAGTATGTGAACTAATCAATCCAGTTTGGTGAATTTAATTTAGCATAGCAAAATAATTCCTTGTGAGAAGAATAAAATTTTAATTGCATCGTGAAATTCAAACACAAAATAACTTTGCCCGATCTTTTATGTAATATTACATAAGATAACCAAGACGCAACATTAAATATAACGTCACTTATCCATGAAATTAGCCAAAGGGAAATTTACATACTAACCAACAAGTTTGTTATATCATGATACTTGGAAAATTAAGTTCACATTTTATCCAGTTATTGCCGATAGTTTGTAAACACGCCAAAAATACCAGTTAATTTATAAACTTTTCAAGTTCATGGGCATTTTAACCATAACTTATAGACCCAATTTTCACCATCACATATACATAACTTTGTTTTTTTGAAGGAAACACCCTGTAAATTAACTGTGGAGATAAGTTTTTTTTTCAATTTAAAAATATGTCCTTTGTTATATTGCTATTTTTGAAATAAACCAAATTTGTTACTTAACAGTAGAATTTCAAAACTAAACAAAATGTTAAATACCTATATTTGTTAATTAAATATTAAGTAAATCAAAATGATTAAAAAATACAGATTTTTCAGCATACGATTTTCATCAGAATGTATAAACAAATAAGAGGTTAAGAATAGTAAATTATTATGTTACTACATTTTGGTATGATTTGGAATACCCAACTTAGTATCTGTTCTTGCTTCGGTCATTGGGCAATTGTTTTAGTTGAACTGTATACAGCAAATTTCAAGACAAATTTTGAATTAAACCACTGCATAGTAACTTTCTGTAAAAGATTTTGGAAATGCAGTTTTGTTAATTATTTTGTCATTTATATTTTTCTCTCTTTTTCTGCCTTTGCAAATTATTTTTACCTTAGCTTTTATTGCAGGCACTACTGCAAGCTCTCAGTTTTCTAAATATAATTATATTTTGCCGTTTAAAAACAAGGTCTAAAAGACTGTAATTTGTTGATAAAAGATTATTATTATTACTATTACTATCAGATTTAAAACTGAGGTGTAATAATCCATTTGCTAATGATTTATAATTATGAAATGTCAGAATCTTGTGAAATTTTTCACTGATCCATTAGGTTTTTTAGAACCACTCTTACTTTTCTGCATGATATAACTTTGTACTAGTCCCTGAAGTTCAGTAGTTGATTATAGAAGACGTTATGTAATATAATACACACAGATGTGCACAAGATGTTTAACAAAATGCATCAAGTTAGTTTAAATGTGCACAGAACTGGCTGGAATTAGGTAACATGAAAAGAATGTACCTATATATAGTGAATATTTTTAACATGTAAATAAAGTTATTTTGAAAAAATACAAATTATATAACTTACTTTATCAAGCAACATTTGCACAATCTCTTTGCTTCCTTTGTAGGCTCCATGCTGCAATGGTGTCATCAGATTCTCATCCAAAAAATTTACATCTTGAACTTCGGTTAGTAATGTTTTCAGCATTAGCGCATCGTTCTTCTCAATAGCTTCAAAAATTTTCTTTTCTATATCAGAAACTTCTTGGGATTCGCTCATTGTTGCAATGTAGTAACTAGGTTAGGTAGCAATTAGCTTTAAATGGATTGATCACTGAACAAATCTAGTTAAATTACAATTTTCGGTAGCTGTTGCGTTAACTTTTCCAGTAGATTTATGAAACTATATCAGGCCTTTTCCTTTCATTAATATTTTTACGGATTAAATTAGACTGTAAACATTATATGAGGTGCAGTGTTACCACTACAACATGCTCACATCACGCTACGAACAAAGATCGATCAGAGGTATTACTCCTACGTTTCCATGTGAAACAAATGACAGTTTTTTGTTTAAAAAGGAAGTTAATGATGCAAGTTTTTCTACATGTAATTTTCAAAATTATATTTTAAATGAACATGCGACATAACTAAACATAGCTTGAAGTTAAGAACGACCATACACTTCAATGTCTCTAAAATGTGGCCAACGCAACGCAAACAGTGAAATGCACAGAATAGATTTTGTGAAATGCAGTAAGTTTTTCTAACATGTTCACAATAAAAATTATAAACAAAAGTAAAAGAACTTAACTCATTCTTTTCTATGGTTACAATTTCTATTTTTGTTTGATGTTCTTTTTAATAGTAGGAAGAGTTGTCATACCATTACCATTGTCCAAATCTGTTTACATAGGCTACCGCGATCATCCGCGCCCTCGGCTGGTGATTTAAAGGACTATAAAAGAAAATCATATTCAGCATCAGTTTCAATTTCCGGATTTCGATGTTGGATGGCGCCACCGAATACAATTTTATTTTATTTAACTAAATATATGCAAATTACACAAGTGAGGTTTTTGAGATTGAAATAAGTTTTTAAGATCAGAAACACATCAACCTATTAAAATGGCAACGATTTGAAAAAACATATAATTTATTTTTCATTGTTATCATTCAAATAATATTGATAAGAAAATTTAATAAATTGATAGATAATTTCTTTTCAGTAATGAGGAGTAAACTAGGCAGCGCTAGAAAAGGATGTGGAAAAACCATATGCATTTTCTTAAGAATTATTTTTTTATTAACCTGGGTCCTTTTTAACTCAAACAATTAGTAGTTAGTTTTATTTTATATTATACTGGTAAAAAAAAGCTTAGTGTAAAGCTGTTAAACGTATTTGAACAAAAAATTAATAGTATCAAAGCACTTGCGTGCTTTTCGCAGGTTCTTTTGAAATTAGCAAAATTTTAGGCATTTTTTGATTGACTTTGATTGAAGCAAAATCACTTCATTTTCACTTTTTTAAACACGTTTACACGGTTACTTCAAACCAAAATATTTCGAAAACAGTTCCCCCTAGCGACTTCTAACAGGACTTCTTTGTTAAAAAAATGATTGAGGAATTCTTTTTTTACTAAAATTATAATATATGGTCGTACAAAAATTCATGAGCATGAGGAATTGAAACGAGGCATGTGGATAGTGCCTCCTAAAAGTAATAGGTAACAACGAACAAAATTACATGTTTCAAGTCAACAAGGCCTCCAGATATCAATTTTCGTGAAGAAATGGCACTATTTGGGAAATTTTGTATAAAAAAAAAACGAAATTTTGACAACTGTATCGAACCGTATTTAAACTAACCAAAATTAAATTTTATTTCTGGGCTGCCTGAGAAAACATGTTTCTATGATTATCCAACCAGCTAAAGCCAAATGGCCTTTTAGCTGCCCATGACTAAATTTTTCTGTTTAATGTTTTTCTCAGATTTTAAAAGCTGACAATTAAAGAATATTAAAAATGCGTGGATTTTATTGTGATGTAACAAAAGGATGTTAAAGTTTTTTCAATGATCTTTTAAAATTTGAGAAAAGCTTTAAACAAAAAATGTTGAAAGATATTTTCTTAGGGTCATTTTACAACATTTTGGAACTACAATTTTGAAAAACCGGTAAAAAATAAGCTTACATCAAGGAAAAACCAGATTAGTAGATAAATTAAAAAACATGTATATTAAATTTGTTTTATCGTCTTATTGATTTGGATAATCATGGAAAACATTCAACTTACATATGGAGAAAAAGTTGATATGCTGCTCCTGCTGCAGTGAAAAGAAAAAACTATATCGTTTTTTCTACTTTAAGGGATGCTTGAATTTTTTGTTATGGTAAGAAATTGATTAACTAACTAACCAATAGTAACATGAGTATGATATCTTTAAGTTTAAGTTGTATCTGCGCGAATGTGAATCCCATAAGTACTTTTTATCAAAAACTCTTAATTATTTAGAAAAAAAGAGTATCGAAATATTTTTTCTTATAATATCTTTTTTTTTTAATGGCGCGCTAGATCAATGACGATGCCTCAAGTGTATAACATGACAAAATAAATAACGACAAAAAAATGTATGAACTGTTAGGATTTGTATATGTATTATATCAACTATTTTTTTGCTTACTGCGATCTTATTTTTTATTTTTAATTGATGACAATTTTGAAAATATTGGGCTTAGAAACTTCCAAAAAACCTGTTTGTTCCCAGTATTATGATATTTAAAAAACTAGGTCATTCTAATAAACTATTCATTCATTCATTACATTTAAATGCTATTTGCCATTTGACAGGAAAAGTTTCATTTTCAGTGCACGTGTGACCTATATTAAACTACTCAAATTTCAAACCACTGGATGACACCATTAAAAAGTTATAGAATGTTCTCACTTGCTTGTGTCACCCGGTATACACCCCAAAACGTTAACATTTTATGTTCTGAGAATATTTATGCCATCGGGAATCAATAAATTTTATACCAGTGATAGTCAAAAACAAAGTTATTCTATATATTAGTGTCCATTTAGAATGCATTTATGACATTTTTCCAGCTGAGGATAAAAAAAACGTAGCATTTTTGAGTAATTATCTAATTCTAATCTAAATAGGTATTATGGTCACAATGCTTCATAAGTCGCCGCTATGAAGGGTGTATGTTGTTTTTTCAGAATTAATGCAAAGTTAATTTTTTCTTAACCAAATTGACTACGAGTTCCTAAGGGTTAACTGTAGTTAGGACTTATATCACACATCGGAGCAGGTTTCTTTAAAGAGTCAGATCATAAAAAGACAAGAAGACATATCTTTATGTATTTAGCGACTCCATGCCAAACAAACAGGCAAAAGAAAAGTAACTATCGCAAAACATTTTTTATTTGCCTGCATTTTAAATGTCGAATCGAGCAGCTCGGTCAAATATCTGTCGAATACGCGGTCGGGGTCGATTTTGACTGTATCTGTAATGGAAATCGGGTTTTACACCCCGTTTAAAGCCTTTGTCACATTCTCGTTGCATTAGTCTATTAGAAAGGGGAACAACCCTATCATTTAGTAATCTTTAGTAATCGGGTGTGCATTAAAATATTACCGTAATAGCTGTACAGTCACGAAAATTGCACTATCCATTATCTTAGACGGGGTGCATGGTGGCGTATTGTATATGGGAGTGATTATTGCAAAGTGAAATGTGCACTGTAAATGAAATTATTCACGAAATGCACACGTTGTTTGGCGATAAGTGCTTTTAGTGTTACTTTATAATATTTAATAAGAAACTTGTAACAATAGCTTTACACAATGAATCTGTAAATACACGATTTCCGGTTATATTTTTGTAGGCAAGTATTGATTCGTGTGAAAGTTTTAGTTTAGTTTTATTTAAATTTTTCGATGGTTGTTGCAGTGCCTTTTTGAATTAGGATTTTGTAGTTTGACACATTTGACTCTTTTTTTTTCTCGATTTTGCAAATAAATGTTTTAGAGAAATAGTCAAAAATGGCTGTGTCTGCCTAAAATGTTAAAAGCAGTAATCCTGAAAAATTTCTTAAAAAAAAAAACAGAGAAGTTTCTACTGCCCATGGAGAAATCTATTCTATTGCTGATGAACGATTTTTTTTGGTACTAATTCCCAATATTTTTATTAATATCTATCAAAAAATTGCAATAATAATGGGGAACCTTAACCAACTGGCATAATACTATCAAAACCGACGGAGACTCTGGAAGACATTGAGATTGGAACAGATGGGCTTATTCAAACGGATCTCTTTGAGGTTTCCAACAAAAAATTTATTCAGCTATTTGGAGCTAACCTTGTTTGTATTCATTTTATTAGAGTTGATAATGGAACAGCTGTGTTAATTGGTGTATTAAAAGGATAGATTAAAGTCATACACTTTTTTTGGCCATTTGATTATCAAAATTGTACAATAATATATTATGGGGTAAGATAAATTTGCCTAAGTAAAAATGATGTTCAGAAATTTGTTAGAATCTTTTGTCACTGCTTCATGTCTATTCTTCGATTTTAAAACACTGGAGTTTTTGTTTAGTAAAATTTTCCCTTTTTCTAAGAATTTAATAACACTGAATAGAATACGGGATGCAAAATATGAAATGACAGGAAATATGTGATACTGCAAGTGGTAAAAGACAAATCTCGCACTACAGAAGTCATAAATAGCTATTGGTGGAAATCATATAACACTTTTGAAGCGCCGATGAAAAATATTGAGAATGGCCATTCACTTGAAATTTCGTTTTCAAGCAATAATACCCGATATTTCACATTAACCATTAATATCATGCAGTCTCTTATAGCTTTCCTTAAGGGACAATGTTGGAACTCTATGCTGCGCTCACCATTTTTACTGAGAAGATACTCAAGCAAACATAACTTTTCATATCCAAGAAGCAGAACAAGCAGTAATTGCTCTCAATAATGTTTTGGATCTTTCTATAAAGCACTGTCTTCGATTAAATACCAAAAAATCGGGTATACTTTTGTTTGGTCTCATTTATCAAGGAGTGAAATTCGTGCAAGTATCCATACTGCACCATACTGTCTTCTGAAGGCATAAATGAATTTAAAAGCATAACAAAATCCTGATAATGGGTTGTTCGATCGTTTATTTACATATATTTACACTTATCTGTTTGCTGATAACTAACCTAAACCTGTCACTCTAACAAAACTAACAACCCAAAAATGCCGGTACATCGTTTCTTATTTTGAAAATTTGTTTTAGTTAATTTTCTAATGACGGAGTAAAATTGCCTAATCGCAGAGTAGAGTATACTTTACTCTTGACAAATCTTAAACTAAACTGAACTTAAATTGTTCAGATAAGCTTTGGAGAATAGAACAGAAGGATTGGTCAACGTCAGCAAATCATAGAATATATGTAAATAGTATTATAGTAGCCTGTAAAAGTGTCTCTGAAAAAAGTACTACTCATTCTCTGGAATTTCTTCTTACTGTACAGCATAATTCCACTGGGGTTTACTTTTCTGTTTTATTTTTTTTTTATTTGCGACACTGTACACGGAACACTCTTAATTAAATTATAATAAGTTCACTGAAATAAGAATCAAAAATTGCAAAATTCAGGCCTGTTGTTAATACACGTTGTTAGAAAATATAATAATCCGATAAGTAAACATCACGTAAAAGGTTAAAAACTGTAATATGTGAAATGGAAAAAGTGTGTGGGCCATCTGTTAAAAAGTATTTGGAATGTGCAACCTAGACAATATTTTTCAAGAATACAACTTTCATTTATATGTGAAAATCCTTAATTTTCATTCGTTTAGACACTAAAATGTTTTAAATATTGACCTTTATAATAGAGTAATGTTCCTTTTAAAATTAGTTTTACGAAATTTCAAAGCATGTTATAATAACTTTACCATACCTTCCGTATTTTTATCCCCTATTCACATACACGTCTAAGATACTCCTTCATTATTTTGGATCCAGTAAACATAATAGCGAATTAGCAGATCTAAGACAGGTTGAAATAAACAAATTGTTTAATAATAACAGTAATAATAATAATAATAATTTCAATTATAAACACATATTTAACATCCCATATATTCAGAAATAGTATATAATATAAACCATATATATAAAAACAGTTTCTTAGGAGGAAAAATTTTTTGCGATTTTGTTTATACATGTTTATACATACATTTTGTGTTACGTGTATTATATTCGTCGAAATTCCATTTCTTGCAGTAATTTTTATTTTTATACACCCATAAACAAACTTATATGTATGTACTCGATAAGGATAGTATTTTTGAACTATCCGAAGAATGCCTGCAAGAACAGTGACACTTTAGCAATACGGCTTAGCACTTTCTTTTGTGATTTGAAAACATGTGACATGTGACATGACTTGAGTTTCTCCAAAGCAGAATATCACCGGCTAATTTCGAATAGACGTTGGCATAGTACAAATTTATTATGCATTTTTAATTCAAAACAGTTTTCAATTTTTACCAAGATAGGATTTCGTCGAATTCTAGTTCCAAAAACTTCGCCGGCCTTTTTATTTCAATGACATCCCTGAGCAGACATTGAGAGAAAGTTTGCTTTATGTTTTGCGGGCACTACTACACTTGTTTTTTGACCAAAAAAGTTCATCGGTGTCGAACCAGCTATTTAACAGTTTAACAATTCGATAACAGTGGGAGGAGATTAAACTTGAATAGAGCTCAGGAAACTTTGGTAAACACAAACAAGTAGGTAAACAGAAAGTTCATTGGAAAAACCGATAAAGAAAACAGGGCCAAGCACTGCACGCTGCGGCTCCCCTCTATCGATAGATTGAATTTGATACAAGTTGCCCTTTTCCTGCCTTATTTCAACATACTGCTTACGATTTGTCAAGAGCGATCTGAACCAGTCTAGAGCTATTAGACAAAATCCGTATTGTTCCATCCTATTCAGAAGAAGTTTTTGGTTCATACAATCAAACGTCCTGCTACGATCACCGAATATCCCAGCTGTAACATATGTATAAAAAACATACTTCCAGAAAAGCTCTTAATTACATCTAGAAATGAATTTTTCTTCAAGTTGGAAAACATATTAGTGACTTAAAGAATGATAATGAGCGTCCAATATGGGTTACTCTCTCTTTAAAAGATACTGTAACAAAGTTCTTATCCACCACAGGATAACCGAACTTATTTTTTTCTTTTTTTATCCACAGCTAAATGTTTCACTATATCTGCAAATTATTTATCTAACCTTGAACCTGGCCTATATAAATATCGCTTTTGTTACGGGAGAAAATAAAGATACGAAGACTAAATAGAATTGGCAAGCAGGTTTATGCGTTTTGAGGTGTTCAGCAGGACCCCTCCTCTTTGTGCAGAGCTCTACAGCGAAATCTACGCCACTGGACACACTGCAATAAGTTGTGTTAAAATCGACACTTTGAAAAATCCTACGAAATCCTATCTTACGATTCGGTTATCTTTAATGAACCATCTCGATTTATTAAATTTCGAATTAATCTCGCCGAAATTCTTAAAGACGCCATAAAAACGTCGTGCAAATAAAGTAAAACATATTAATTTCGCTGGATTTCATTCCGGCCCGTCTTCGTCGAAACTAAACGGTCCCGACACGCGCGACTCCTGCAAGTGTAGCAGCAGGATTCAGGGGCGGGTGTTCCTGCGACCCGCCTACGCATTTTCCCGCCCATTTCTGCCTGGATATCGCCCCAGCAGGATTGCCAGTCCTTTTCGCGCGCTTGCGACGCTTGCAAGTGGTCAGGGTGGGAAGTAATTTTTTATCATAGCTGTAATATGTAATGCTCATGTGATTTTGTTTTTTTGTTCGTCGCTAGCCGTCGTTTGGTGTGAATGTAGGTCGCGGATTTTTAACGTATAGTGAAATCGACGCGTACACAAAGGATTAGCCATGCTGAAATTTCTCTTTGGATTCTTCATATTGATTAGTTTTGGTAAGACCCCTAGTATAACTATTATTTTATTCCGCAATGAGAACTGAAAATAAATTTTCTCTGAGCTATATTAAGATTTAACCCAAACCGCTCAGATAAAATTTGTTTTTTGATTTTATTTTCGTGTTAATTAATACTTTCATAAAACGACTATTTTTCCTTTCTGCAACTTAAAAAACTGGAAAATCCATTCTATTTGTGCTATGTATAATTCTCCTTTTCAGTGGCAATTTTGGATAATATAATGTTCGGGAATACCTATGGTTCTTTGGATCTATTATAATTGACCAAAAAAAAAATCAAAACCGTTAAGAAATTGGTATATTATCAGAACTTTATCCACTAACGTGTAAAAATCAAGATATACAAAATGTACACAAAGTTTATCGTCAATAGATAGCTTTTTGGTAGTAAGTCGCTTAAAATAGCTACAGAAACAATGGCATGAGGGGGGCAGGTAGGTTCTAGCCACCAGAAATAAAAAAAAATTGTATACGTCCACTATAAAAACAAAGCCAAATACACTGATGTTAGTTTTGTAATTATTGATAAGGATATCATTAAAAAAAAAAACGGAAACCGAAGAAATTTATGGAGCCAGGCATGCTTCCTCCGTTCATACTGAAGAGGTGCACATAGTCTCTAGTAAAGCCTCAGAAACTGATGTTTGACTTCACACTTCACTTAAATACATATATCCCTGTCAGTTAAAACGTGCAACAGTTTGTTCAGTATTCAAAAGTGGAAAGGGGATGATGTGCAAAACTATGAGCCGGGAACTCTTGTTCGTGCTCCTAGAAGATTTTATGAGTTTATTTCGTACAATAAAATTTTAGACCGAAAGCAACATGGCTTTTTATCTGAAAGGTTTGTAACCAACAAGTCTTTCGAGTCACGCAATCGAAGAAAATAGTCAATTCGACGTTATTTTTACAATTTTAGACAAGCGCTTGAGAAAGTAGTTCATGATACCTTGCTGACAAAACTGCACGAATTTGGATTATTAAATAGGCTAAAATAAACTATTGAAACTAGTCGCTTCCTATTTGTCAGATAGTAAGCAATTTGTCGACCACAAGGCAGAAGAATCCAACCTTTTTTACCACATCTGGAATCCCGTAGTGATCAAATCTTGGGTAAGTTCTCTTCTTATTATCAATAAACGATTTGGCAGGGGTAGCTCAGATTTCTGAGTGTGCATTATTTTCATGAGATTTTAAGTTGTATATAGAAATAAAAAACGATCAAGATGTTCTCTTACTTCAAAATCGCAATGGCGACTTGCAATTTTGAAGTAAGATACGCGACATATGACCAACAAAGTGAATAGAGCTGACAGAATGTTTGGATTTCTAATCAGAAATTCATTAAAATTCGCTAAATTAAAACCACTTCAAATGCTTTACAACGCGTTTGTTCGTACCATGCTAGAATACACTGGGATCATTTGGTCACCCTATTACGTAGTTCATAAACAATTAGTTGAAAAAATACGAAAGGAATTTTTAAGATTTTTGTATTATAAAAAGTGTAGTCAATAAATATTCTATCTCAGTTACTAGGCTTACCTAAATGAATTTAGTCTTATATCTTTAGAAATAAGAAGGAAAGCTGCATTTCTGATATTTCTATAGACATTATTGAATTCAAAAATTTTCAATCCTCAACTACTGACGCAACTTAGTTTGAATTGAAAGAATTCTATTTGTCTTTATATGTATTGAATATTGCCTTATTTGCTGTATATAATATAAATAATTTTTAGAAAAAAGTTTGGCATTGACCAGTGGAATAGCTTAGTGAAATTAAAAAAAAGTACTCCATTTTCACATGGTGAAGTGTACCACTAAGATCGCGGTGCGGGTAGGATTCCTCTTGTAAAGAGCGTACTCTTGTTTTGTATAATGGTTCATTTAATTGCTTGTATAGATATCGAATATCCTAACCTTTCATTAGAAATGAATACCGAATGTCCCAGCCAGCTGGGCTACCGAATAGCGTAATTTCTTTTTGATGGGCCACATTTCATATAAGAAAAATACCTTATCCTGATAACAGTTCATATTTCTATTGTTGACACTTTATAGCTGTTCTTAACTCTAGTCGCATTTTGAATTACTGTAGCTTAACGTTAAATTCTCGATTAAGTTAGTATTTTGAGTATGGCTGCAAAATGAAATTGAGAAAGTGGTTTGAGCACTAGGAAATAGGGTTAAAAATTTAATGTGAATGTGGGGAAGTCTCAATTAATGTTGTTACAAAATAAAGAAGTTCAAAATTTGTACCGGACCAGAGTGTTTTTAATTTCTTTTGTAAGTCTTGAAACAAGAACTTACCCAATGTCGGGATCATAATTCAAGCGAAAGCCTTGGCTTTTTCACACAACCTTAAGACTAAATGACTTCTAAGCTCCAAATGAATTGTTAGAGAGATTTTGTCCTCAGCACGGTATCACCTTTGTGACCAATTTGCGAAATTAATATCGCAGATTGCAAGAAAAAGCTGCTGACGATTTTAAAAGAGTACGCTTCAAAAAAAAAATATAATTCAGCCGAGACTGGACTCTAGTATGTATTTGCTTTGCCAAAAACATATTATGCTTTGGAAAAAGATAAGTTTTTTTTTATTAGATTTTCGTTTTTTGTAACGACTAAAGAGATTTCGCTGTGAAACTTTGGCTGGTCTATATGTTTTGTTAGGAAATTTAGTTCGTTTTCTCATTTACTTATTAATGACCTTGGATTATTTGGTCGGGTGGTTTGTAGTTTGTTTGTCTCTCAAATCGTCAATTAATATATTATATATACAGTTTGACTATAAGAAAGTGTTTATCGGTTGCTTCTACTAAGAATTTAGCGATATCTTTTTTATCTTTGCTTTTTATCCTAAGGATTTATGTCATAGCATGATCTTTAGCATTGAATTTGTGCTCCACAAAAATGATGATTTTATCTTTTCCGAATTTTTTGGTAAATATGCCAATAAAACATCTTCACAAATGTTTACTATCTTCTTATTCAGATATCACTCAAAAATTTGGCATATTTTTTCGTATCGCATCGCAAGCTAATAAAATTGTTATCTTCAATTCGGAATATCCATAGAAACTAAATATGAATAACGTCTAATTTCTGACAATTACTTGGATTGTAAAATTTCAGTATATCAAAAATTTTAAAAATTCTCAGTGATTAGCTATTCAGTAAAAATGGTTTTCGTATGTACCACTACAAGCTTAAATAACAAGACAGATTTAACGGAAGAACCAGCTTGCTTTCCATGTTGTAAACCATGTATTTTCCCTGGATCCGAACTAAAACAAAGTGATAATTTTCCTGAGTTTTTGGTGAGTATTCACCGTTGAAATATAAAAGAAGCTTTTTCCGAGTCTGGTTTGATAATGAAATTCTATTTACAATAAATTTTTGGAACTATTTTTTAATTTAATTTTTTTCCATTGCATGGATATTTGGGTTTAGTTTTTGCACTAACTATTGCTAGTTGTTTTTTGTATCGACAGAGATCATCGATTTTCTTTTGGTAAAAATATAAATTTACTATGGTAAGGATCAGTAAACATGGTCGACAAGTTAAAGGCTATATCGTAAAATTCAGATAATTTGTAATGACACTTTCCGATAAATTCCGTACTTCAGTTTTTAAGACGTAAGACGAGTTTGGTGAGCGAAAATACTGTAACTGCGAAGTCACTACACACACAAAAGTGTACCTGCTTATAGTTATAGCGATGGACAGATAATTGGCTCATTAATTATTCTAAGATCAAGTAAATAAAAACTTATATAAAGCAAGAATAATATAAAAAGAGATAAATTACTATATATTTCATTATTCAAAAAAAGTCTACTATTTACAACACAATTTCATTTGGAACTCTTAATCATCATTTTCCGAGTAGTCAAATGAACTATTCAAATTTACAATCCTCAGTACCGCCTTTTCAGTATATCTTTATGCTTCTTAAGCATCACTATAACAGATCCACTCCACATCAGCATTCATGTATGTCATCATGATGGTCTAGAGTTTTTGACTTTGACTGTACTGTACTTCCTTTAGTAACCTGATCGGGCCGCTTTTCTCCACTTGCTCAAGTCGGAATATTGTTGACTGATATCGAATATTGAATGGTGCAGAGTTTTGATCACATCGAGAACAATAACTTACTAATTTTTAAAATGCGCAGTTTTACTAATCTTTTCTAATCTAACTAATCTTTTTCAAGAAAGACCCTTGACGATAATCACAGGTATGCTACACCTATTTTATACGGCTAAGACCATTAAGTTGTACAGTTAAATAATGATTTATTACTCTCTCGCATTAAGAAACACAGTACACAACTAATAACGAATGAAAAAAGCTATCATGAGTGAACTGTTAGCAGACGTATGTCTCAATTTATTTAACAGAGACGAAATGTTTTCATCGGGTGAAGCCAAAAAGATATTAAAACTAACATTTAAGACTAAAAAGAGAATAAAGGTGACAAACTTGAAAATCGTAATGCTATTTTAAAACGATTCTGAAGCATTGTCCGTGGTATTATAGAACGCAAACTGTGAAAGAACTAGGTTTGATTTTATTTTATTAGACAGTTACTGATAGGTAAAAATTAAATCAATTATAAATTATTAGATAAATATCTCGAAAATGAAGTCTCAGATCATAACGCTGCAACATTCCAAATATTATTATTTACTTCAATAATATTCGTTAAAACAAACTTGTTAACTTAAAATTTTGCTTCGTATTTACTCAAAACCCTTGAATGAGAATCACATTATGGCTGGTCATTGACGATCTTTCATAGTTTTAATGGAGTCTTTGCTCCTGTTCTTCACTACAATCACCTAAATTTTATTTAACGAGATCTAGTTGGCTGTGGGAGTAGTGACCTTTTATACTATTGTTACAATCGAGAATATTAAAATTTGAAAGTTTGGTTTCAGGACTATCAAATATACCAGGAAATTTACGTAACAGATACCCAAAGCAATTTCCATTTCTGTAAATCGAAATGGAAATTGCCTTAATAAGTCGCTTCACCAGTTTCATCTTGACATCAAATGAATTGATGTTGATCATTGTTTTTTTCAAAGAAACTTCCACAGGCTACTGTAATATTATTTACAAAACTTCTGGATTCCTCCTGCAGCGGTTATTGTTGAGTCGAACTTGTTAACGATTCGCCAATCATCCTCTTGGCTTCTTCAGAGCGTAACTGAAGTTGAAGAAGCCAGCAGGAGAATTGGCGAAATGTTAGCAAGTTCGACTCAATAATAACCGACGCAGGAGGAATTCAGCAGTTTCGTAAATAGTATGTGATGTAATTCATGTTTTTTTTTAACTAATAGAGCCCGCAAACTTATTATAGGAAGATTGGGTCAAGGAGAAGTCCGGGTATCAATTTGGCTAACTAGAATGTATATAATTTTAACTAGGAAATTTCTACTTTGATCATTAAGCATGTATTTCGTAATTATCTGGTGGAATTTTTTGAATCGCCACTTTAAAAAGATCCATAATCAGTTGTTGGCCCATTTTTTTCATGTTGTCATTTTTTTGCCCTCTATATCTTAAAAAACATGTCACAAGTCACAATAAAACAAAACCAGATGGAAGAAATATTAGAAACTTGAACATATATTAGGGTTGTTTTTTTTTTGTTTAATCAACATATATCTTTTTCGTAGAGATATCCAGCTAATGTCAAATTTTGTCTAATTTTGACAAACTACAAAATTCCAACAGTCACGTATTATTGGAAATTTGATAGTTATTTCAAATTCTTTAATTCGAATAGTATTGTATCATTTTAAAACATTACCAATTCTGGAAGAAAGCGTTATTAAGTTTGGCTCAAGAAAATCATCTACTAACATGATTTTCCAAAGCCAATTATATACAAATTAATTTTATAAGATACACAGAAAACGGATATTGTAGGTGTGTTTCCGAGATCGTCAAAAAAAAGACTACTTGTCTAAATCATCAAAACGTAAAGAGGGGAAACGACACACTGGCAGAGTAAAAAAATCCAAATCTAGAGAACTGAGGGCGGGAATTTTGTACTCCGGATGTGCATGCGAAAAACGAGACGGGCTGCAGGTAACAACATACAAGTTTTTTCAGCCATTTTGAAATTTAGGCATTTTTTTGAGTTAAATGCAGTGGCATTTTTCTGCAATTCCTTCAAATGAATACAATTCTACTATTTTTATTTTATATTAAAGGTTAATGTAAATGTGAACACCAAAATCCATTAAACATGATATCCTGAATTGGCTCTGATAGCTATTCGCACAGCCTACTTATACCTATGACGGATACCACAATCAGATACATGGGTAGATAGACAGATACATAAATAATTGTTTATTTGTTCCAAATTATGATACCAAAAACACAAAAATAGAACATAACCCAATGCCATAGAACAAAGTGTAAAGTAGTCTAAAGTAACAATAAAAATAAATCTTAAAAAAATACAGAGCATTTGCAAGCGGTAATCCGTATACACAAATTAGAAGCCGAGATAAAAAAATACATACTGTATCGCTAAAGAATTTGATCAATTTGCAAACATTGCATGATTTTCACTTTTTCGATGCCATTTACCTGTATTTTAGCAACATCGTCCCCACTAGAAATAAAAGTTGTATCATTTTCATACAATACTGTATATTCACCAGGAAAGTTCTTTTTTGTACAAAATATACAATGTAGGGCCCCGATGGAGCCCTGAGTAGCACCCTTTCACCACATTAATGCTATCAAAGGCAAATTGAATTTGTTAAAGATCATAACCATCAACTATAAAATCAACATATAAAAATAAGAAACTTATTAGGACCGGAATGTAAAATAAGAAAAATAGTTGTTACCGAGATAGAGCGTGTCAAAGATTAATTTATTAATTTAAACATTTGTAACAAATGTACCAAATTTCACATGATCATTTTTCAGAATATAGAAGATAAATTAAAAAAAAACAAAAATGCAGTAACACCCTGTATACGTATATTAGTGCGCTATGCATTCTTTTAAAAAATGTTGCTAATGACAAATATAAAAAGAAAAACTATATGGATTAAATGGATTGAGTTTCTCAAAACAAGTCTCTGAATCTTTGAAAGTAAATCTTTTGTTAATATTGATCTCAACTCGGAAGCCCAGATTGACTTAAATAACTTTCCGTTTTTTTGCTTTCAGTGCGCGAATACTGAAAACTAAAATTTTCAGGATAATTGTCCTCGGACTCTGTGCCACGGTTCTCCAGAATGTCTAACCAAACCACCTATCTGTGCTCCGAGTGAATTTTGCGATGGAAAACATTTAACAAAACGCAAGGTCGATAGCGAAACTAAAAAAATGGAAGGCAACTTTCACTTTCCTAACTACAACTGCTTCGCTGCCACAATCCAGGCTCCCTTTTGCTATGTTTATCATGGAATTTAGAAACGTTTGGTAAACGCGCCAAGAAAACGCGCAAAAGTGCAGTGAAGTGCAAAAAACCGTGCAAACTTTGGTCTCTATGGAGGTTTGGGTTGAGTATTGAAACATTTACGTCATCTCTGTACTGTGGTCTGCACGATTGAAAAAAATAAAATGATTCCTAAGTAATTTTGTATATTTTCATACTTATGAGTTACTTTTCAAACATGTACTAGGTGATGGTGAGTGATGGCACCAAATCCGAATTCAGAAGAGTGAACCACATTACGCATTAGCTCCTAGCTCCTATTTTGGTTTTTAGAACTTTTTGATTACGTTGATTAATCTTTAGTAAAACATTTGAATCTCAACTAAATATGGACAACTTGAATGAATGGTTTAATATCAGTAAAACGTTTTTAAATGTGTATCTATGTAGATACTGTTAATAGAAAAATCTTGTGAATGAAATGAATCACTTAGACTGAGTTGAAATTTAATCTACACTATACTCATATTATTAATAAAGCAGTACAAATGCTTAGCTTCGTAATTAGAGTCACCACTTAAGAGCTACCTTTCCATCAGGTGAGGGTGAACCCAACCCAGAAAGCTTTACACCACATTACACATTACACAGTAGTCCTAGAGTCCTGAATTTGAAGTGGACAATGTTAATAACTTGTTTAAAATCAAGAAGATGTATTTTTAAGCAGTCGATAGTGAGCGGTGAAACCAAATTCGAGCTCAATCCTTCAGAGGCCGGTTTGAGTTACCTGTTGAAACGCTTACGCATCTATAGATTGTGGTATGCACGATTGCAATGTTTAAAATAATTCTTAAGTAAATTTGTACGACGTAGTTATGAGAGTATATTATCAGAACGTTGTATCGCATTACAAATTAGTTCTTGGCTCTTGTTCTTGGTTCTTGGAAGGTTTTGGTTACACCACCTTCACGTAAATATATCTGAACTTTGACTTCGTATGCACAACGGTTTAAAAACCAATAAAATGTATTTAATCGTCAAAAAACACGCTGCAATTACTTTCAAAAGAACAATGAACTCGGTTTTGAACTAGAATGAAATTGGTGGATTGCAGTTTAAACCTGTTAGAAAACTCAGGATTTAATTTTTTAGGCTAAGTATAAATTTAATCGTTACAACGTTCATGTTATTCATAAAATAGCAAAAAATATATGGTTTCATAGTTAGAGCTACTTTTCAAGCAGGTGTTGGTGAGTGGAGGCACCAAGTCCGAACTCAGAAGACTATATTACATTACGCGTTGGTTCTCGGCTTTTCTTCTTTGGTTATTGGAAAGTTATGTTCTCACCAATTAATCTTTCCTACATACATTTGAACTTCAATTCGATTTGGACAACGCTATAATTAGTTTAAAACCAATAAAATGTTACTGTAAATAGAGAAATAAACTCATGCTTCCAATACCTGTACTTTATTTGCTTCATAATTAGATCTAGTAAAAGCTTTACACTGTCCACTATAATTAAACTGTAATTTGAATGCTATAGTGAGGTCGCATCTTCATCTTCAGATCTACCTGTTGCTGTTGATACTCTGTTGCTGAAGCTGCTAGGTAAAAAATGGTGGGAATATTGTTTAAATTTTTGAAGGAATAAAATATACTATGCTACTGCGCACTACTCGAAAATGCCCAACCATACGCGTTTAGCAAAGATAGAATGTTTTCATTTGATTTTAGTCACGCGGTTAATGTATTCTTGTTGTTTCGCAAAAATGTACCAAAAAACTTAGCGGTATAAAAAGTATAGCATGCAATACATTGATAAACGCTTTCATACACTTATAAACACTCGGTCCAACTCGAGATTAAAGTGTCGTTTATAAAACTTGTTGCATAATATAGTGTTATGAATTACTGGATAATAATTTAGGCACTAAGATTACAAATACGTTTTTGTGTTGAGAACACTAGATTGTATAATCCTGTCCAAAGTAACTCAACTTAATACACAGCAAGACTAACTTTCCATATATCAATAAAACAGTTTTTTGTAGGCAAATGGACAAACAGCATTCTGAATATAGTAACGAATTGCGATAAGGATTTTGTTGCGAAACTTAAACTTTCCCTCGCTGATTTCCTCTGTTTGGTATTCGTATTGTTACATGTTGTTGCCACATGTGACGACAAACACAGTTTTCAATATACAGGACGTGAGTAAATGTATTTTATCATTTCGCATTCAACGACAACAAAATAGATGTTATTTCATAGAAAAATATTTAAAACATTGATTTTGTAGGCGTGGTGTCCAAAAATGGTATACCGGGTTATTCACATTTTAAATAAATTCATTTTTCGAGTGTACATTGTGATCAGTTTATAGAACATTAATTAAAAAGACGAGGGTGTTTTTAAATTAGACCAAAAGGTTCATATAAACATTTTCTGTATATAGGGTGTATCAATAGTGCTTTACCGGTAGATATATTGAAAAAAGTCAAATTATTTTCACTGGCCAAAACTTGGGTAAATGGATGATATACAAGCTTAATAATTAGCTGTAAGGATAAATGATCTTAAGTTTTCAAAGAAACTTCCACAGGCCACTGCAATACTCTTTATAAAACTTCTGGACTCCTCCTGCGTCGGTTTTTGTTGAGTCGAACTAGCTAACGTTTCACCAATCATCCTGTTGGCTTCTTCAGAGTTTGACTGAAACTGGATCGCATTTTACTCTGTACCTGCTTTTATATTGTTTGAGGGGGGCGGAGCTAAATGAGGGGCATAAACACCGTCTTGAATGATTGATTCCAATATTGGTGACAGGTAGAGATCTGAGTCGCGGTTAAGATTGTTAGGTAGCTTATAGATTTCTATAGACTCTCGGATTTTTCGTTGGTAGAAGAATTGATCACATGCAAGAATTTTAGTTTTATCGAATAAATTTTTATGTCCGGTTTCGTCATTGTGTTCGGCAATTGCTGATGAGTTTATTTGTCTATAAAGTCCTGGCATCTCAAATGGAATGTCGTCTTTGACGGATCGAAGACGTTGAGAGATTTTTGGGCAAGTTGTAAATCTGGTTTTGACGTTATATTTTTTTTGAACTTTTGATATGAGATCAGTGATGTTCCGAATATAAGGAAGGACGACAGTGGCAAGTGTGGGATTGCTTTCGCCTTCATTGCTATTGGAAGGTTGCGGCGATGTGTATTTTGTGATGGAATGGTTAATATCTTTAATGTGGAAATTATTAGAGAGAAGAGCAGAGGTAAGGCGTTTTAATTCTGACGTCAATGACTCGGGCTGAGATAGTTTTACGGCTCTGTGAACAAGAGAGTTGATAACTGATGATTTTTGGGCCGGATGGTGATTAAGGTGTCGGTCTGTGTGCGTAGGGTTTCTGCAAGCACAATCACCCGATGCTATGTCTCATTTTTATTAATAAGAATATCTATTGACAAGAAAATCCAAGAATGGGAGGTTGTTATTAGTTTTTATTTCAATTGTAAAACATATGGTAAACGTATCTATGCGTCCAAATAACAAAAATATCATCGACGTAGCGTTTCCATAATTTTGGTTTTAGATGGAAGGTGTCGAGATGATTGGCAAAACGTTAGCTAGTTCGACAAAAACCGACGCAGGAAGAATCCAGAAGTTTTATAAAGATTATAGGTCATCTTAATTATGCGAAGAGTCTTACTGAAAGGTTATAAACACTCTGTAGTAGCGCGACCCGCTGGTATTACGACGTTTAAAGATTGCCAACTTTAGGCTTCCCTATCATTCTTATCAATACCTTTCTTTTATGGCAGAAACTGTGCACCTATTACCGATCTCTGGATGAACGTTTTGGTGGTCAGGGGATCGTCACTCAACAACTACGAGTTACCCAACATGGTACTACTACAGGGTTGTTTATAATCTGAGACGAGGCTGCGAAGTATAATTACTCACATTGGTAGCAAAATGAGATTTATCGGTGGTAGCTTACTGGCATATCAATTCAAACGGACTGGAAACTATCCACTGGCCTTTTATCAAATGCTACATCCTATTCTTCCTGGTTCTGTTTTAATTGTGGACAAATTCAGCTACTAAAATTCCCATGCCTTCTTGGAAAAAAATGACATAATTAAATTTAGGCAATTTCAGAAAGATATGCTGAAAATGCAGCTATTGGAGATTGTATATTTGAATAAAGTTCTTTGTACAGAATTTGTTGTTGACGAAATCGCTTCAAAACGAACTATAACGTTACATTGCCGTATGACTGTGATTGGTAGGCGCACAGGACAAAGGGTTTGTGGTAAGGTCTAACATGGAAATGGGGAACGTTGAAACCCTCTAGCAAAGAGAGAATAAAGATAATGGATTGTGACAAACGGACCTACATGTGATTGAAATAGAAGGAAAAATGTGGGAAGCTGATTACATACTAGAAAACACTGTAGAACCTCTGGACGATAGTTTATCTGACTACTCGGAGTAATATTTATGCAACTGATATATTTCCATTTTATTGTTATTTCATATTGTGTTTTGCATAATTGAATTTTAATATAATCAAAAGTGCATATCCTATTGAAATAGAGAGCATGATAATTTCTTGAAATGAAGCTTTGTGGGTACCAGAGGAATCATTTTTGAAATCTTTTTGACTAAATTATAAACTCTTGCTGCGTCAGTTTATATCAAATGCACAATGAATTTGAGAAATTTTGTGCGTGCATTTGTTCATTCTAGTGCAACTTAACTTACTAGTTATGACTGAGTTCATATTAATATTTAAATTGAATATTAAAATTAAAATGAAATTAAATTAAATCACATTGTTATTAAATTTATCACCCACTTAATTTTATTCACAGTTATTGTATCACTTCCAGAATGTTATAGTCAATTAACCAACCAGGAGTCAACAAGCCTGTTAATTTTTGTATACTCATTATTTTGCAAATATATTGAAAGGGCGTTGTGTATTCTAGGAGCTGCAAACAGAAGGCTCCTCTGCACTTAAGTAAATTTTACAATGGGTACAGGTATGGCCTTAGTTGTTACAAATCTGGTTTTTACTGAATGGCTTATTATTTATTTACGAATTTTGTTAAGATTTAATAGTCTGATGAGTGTTTTAATGTAGATTTTGTTGATACGTAGTACTTTTACTTCAGTAAACAATTG